TCCAGATGGAGAGAGATAGAATCTGTTAAGTATTTTTTATTGAATAAATTTGCCTCTACCCTTCCTGATATATAACCCATTATCAGAAATGATTGAGTTCCAAGTCCTTTCATCAAAACTGCAATCAGGGTCTCTTTCCCGTTTTTAAAAAACATTTACACATATTATTTTTGACCCATGGGCACATATACCATTTTGATGCCTTGTTTAAAAAAGGCATTAATCCCAGAAAGGACTCTATTGGATTTTTCTCTTGAGGAAACTTCATTCTATCTTTAATACAATCTCTGATTTGTAAATATCTCCAAAAATGATTATTACTTTCCAGTTTAAACTTTTCCATAAACCCATTGCATGATAAAAATATATCCTCTTCATATAGATCACCAACAATTCTTATATCTTTTTTGAACCATTGTGGCCAATAAATTGTTTGTTTACCTATTTTATTTTTGGGGTTATACCACAGGGATGAGTATTTTTGGAAATATGGAGAGATGTTACATTGCTTGTGTACCTCTTGCCAAACCTTTTTTTGAGAACGATAAAATAGCTTTGCCTATTCTCATTATTTTCTAGTTTTTGGGTTAATACTTCAATAGGGGTAAATGGGGAGGTACGTTCTTGCTCGATTAGAACCCAGTCTAAACCAGTTTTTGTCTTTGATCCGTGTTTACATAGCTTAGACATTTCGAATGAGATACTTTAATGTTCTATACTAGGTAAGGCTAATCCTCCTTCCTTTTTTGGTTGACTCAATCTACTAATAAGGGACTTACCACCATTCCAAAGAAAATCTTTTATCATATTTGGGGTGGCAAGATTTACCAAGAATGCAGAAACACGTTGGAATAATGCCAGAAAAGTCTGCGTGTATGATAATCAAATATGATTTAATTATGAGCGACAAACAAACAGAACTGAATCAGGAAATTCTGCATGATTGTGACTGACTGTCAGCATAATACATCCAGTAATATAGCATTATGTTAACACCATGTGACAGTTTACAACTAATCACAGATTGCCAAATATACTGTCCAGCCTATGACTGGACTCCCAGCCCAAAGAGTCTGTTATCAAACAAGAGAGTTCAGTCCGTTGCGGAGTCCTGACGTCCGGAAACAAACAGACTACGAGAGCGAAATGAGCTATCAGAAAGATACGAGTGATGGACAGTGTCAAGGTGAAACAGATATAAATAATTAGTCCATGTGTAGGGGTCACCCTGGTGAAAAAAAACTTTTCTATTGTTTATTTTCTTTGTCTTTGATTTTATATTTTTNAAGTAATGAGTTTTAGATGACAGTTTGTTGTGTGTTCTGTAGAAAGAAGCACACCTCCTCTGAGAGGCCACAGGATGAAGTCAACAAGGAGCTGCTCAATGAGAAGAAGGTAACTGAAGACGTGGCTTCTCTTCTGGAGCGAGAGACAGATAAGGTCTCAAAACAGATTCGGTAAGAAATTAACACCAACAACCGTTTGGATTTGTGTCCAGATATTCTTCATGTCAAATATCGTACAGCTGTTAACCAAAGTAAGACAAATTTATGAATTTATCTTCCAGACTGAATCTATCAATTAAGTACCATTTAGAACGAGATCTGAAGGAGATATTTGAGGCTCAGAACAACAACTCCTGCGCTTTAATGACTGTTCATTCCAACCTAACCCAGGAGAARYCTAAAGACAACTGCACTGAACCGCCCAGGTGAACCATCGTCTTCATGTCTACTTACACTCACACAAAACATTGTTTTTATATACTTTCTAGCAGCCTATATTTATTTTTATTTATGTTTTTGCATGTGTCTGTGTGTTCGCTCCTCTGTTAGGTAAGGAATTGACTAACCAGTGAACAGATTTCAATAAAGCTTTCAGAAACTAATCACTACTGAAGACGATCGTCACAGCTTAGCCTGTTAGCTTTAGCATTAGCCCCAACGCTATCACCATATGTATTAGCTCAGCGCTACACATTCACCTCTCGTCACTGAGGTCCTCCATCTATGACAGAGAGGGGAACACAAAAATGTGACACGATCAGGCACTGATGGACACAGGGACTGAACAGATGAAATAAACAGTTTATTAAGAAATAAACTTGATTTTAGTCAGACAGGCCAGGGTCAGAGCCAGTGGGTCCAGGTCAAAGCGGGTTGTCAGACAGGCCAGGGTCAGAGCCAGTGGGTCCAGGTCAAAGCGGGTTGTCAGACAGGCCAGGGTCAGAGCCAGTGGGTCCAGGTCAAAGTGGGTTGTCAGACAGGCCAGGGTCAGAGCCAGTGGGTCCAGGTCAAAGTGGGTTTCCAGATCTCAGGGTCAGACAGACGAGGGGTCGGAGCCAGGAGTACTTAATCCAGTGGAGAGGGTCAGGATCTGGGACAGGAGAAGCAACTAGGCAAAAAGGAAGAGACATACAGGTTAGTGACTGGGCAGTTAGCTCAAATCTCTACAATAGGCCTGAAGGTGTTACCACTGAGGGTTTCACAACAATCTGACGCCGTGCAGAAGGAGGCTCCGTCCTTATATGGCAGCAGCTGGGGATCAGGGTGATGATGATCAGGTGTGAGTAGTCACTGCTCAGCAGCAGCTGTGACAAAATGACTCAGCTGCAACTGAAAATGTGGATGGAGGACCTCAGTTTAGGTTGTTTGTCGCGCTAGCGCCGAGCTAATACATACGTATGAGGCAATATAGCGTCAGCGCTAGTGCAAAGCCTAACAGGCTAAGCTGAGGTTCTTCTTCCATGAAGCAGCTCTGTTGTCCTCATCTATAT